GCGTTTTTACGCAGCGCTCTGACGCACTGATTCAGTTTGGTTCAGTTTGGTTCAGTTTGGATCAGTTTGGATCAGTTCGGCTGCGCTCAGCTGCAGCTTTATCTCGTCATCATGAACTGGTTCGAGGGTTCGATTCCCGACGCGATAAACGAGGCCAAACGGCGCAGTCTGGTGTTTGTTGTGGTCATCACAGGTTTGTACGAGTCACGATTTCATGACGCGGCTTTAGCCTGTTAGCTTTAGCCTGTTAGCTTCAGCCCCACAGAGCCTCTGCGTTTCATTGGATATTTAATAAATAAAGATGTTTTCAGAAACGCAGCTCATATAAATGTTATAAAAGGACAATAAGAGTCCGTCCCGGTCTTCAGCGCTTCTGACTGAAATAATTAAACCAAAAACAACCCGGAAACACCGAGCTTTAGCGTTAGCTCCAGCGGCTAACGAGCTGCGGCTAACACCAAAACAAACCGAGACTCCCCCGAGTCCAGGACCAGGACCGGGACCAGGACCAGGACCGCGGTGACAGCGGGACCAGGGGACAGGGTGGACTGTCTCACAGCTGCAGAGGAGGACATACCCGCGGAATGTCCATGTCCAGGATAATACCGAGTTTGAAAGAGACAGACAGAGACAGAGACAGGGACAGGACGGCCCTAAAAATGTCTCATATTTAGAGTGTCCACACGTCCCTGTTTATCTGGGACAGTCCCAGTCCTGAGCCTGTGTCCCCTGTCCCAGCAGATTTATACAAAACCACTGATTTGTCCCAGTTTATACAAGAAATGTCCCAGTGTTTGGACCAATCTGATCTAAACCAGGTCTAAACCAGGTCTAAACCAGGTCTAAACCAGACTAAACCAGGACTAAACCAGGTCTAAACCAGGACTAAACCAGGTCTAAACCAGGTCTAAACCAGGTCTAAACCAGGTCTAAACCAGGTCTATGACAGTAAAGAGGAGCAAAAACTGCCATTTGTTTAGGCAAAATACAGAAATTTGTGTTTGTGAATGAACATAAAAAAAAAATTAAAAAAAAGTCAGTGTCAGAAGTCCCTCAGATTATGACTGACACGAGAATGTACAATGTTACACGCTCTTTTCCTATTTAATTTAATTTAAATTATTTTTATTTAATTTAATTTATTATAATTGATTTGTTATTTAATTTTATTTTATTTTAGAAAATCTGCTTGCCCTGTTCATATTAGAGCAGTAATATTTGGAAACCATAAAGTGCTTTTGTTTTGTCTTTGTTTTTCTGTCAAATTAACTTTAAACAAATTGTGCCAAATGTAAAAATATAATTTTCTTTAAATCCTTGTTTAAAACGCCGGCAGTGTGCAGATGTAACGGTGCAGTAGAACCGCGCTCTTCTCACTTGTGGTTCTATGTTCCGCTCTCACACCTGCAGAACCGACCCGAGCCGCCATGACGTCATCACACGGCACCGTTTGTTTACACGTGGAGCAGAGAAAATAAGTCCAGCGGCAGAAATATCTGTTAAATAGTGAGACAGATGTGTGTCCTGTTATGGTTCACGCTCCTCCGGGAGTTTAAGGAGATAAAAACAGAGCGGAGCAGGAGACGAGACGCAGATAAACCTGATAAACCTGTGTCTGTCACAGTCCTCACTGACGCTCAGCGCAGATTCACTCTGTGTTTGGGAGTGACTTTATTCACTGTATTTGAATGAGATTACAAACACACACTTAGTATTATTATTTTTATTATTATTATTTTTTATAAGTGTACGTCTTATTCTTTCCTTGAGCCTTCATCTTGAGCCTGTCCACTGTGGCTCTGCAGACTTGTGTCATTCCTTCATGTGGGTTTTTCACTTTAATGCACTTAAGTTTTTTGTAGAATTGTTGTTTTGTTTGAAGCTCAGCCTAATATGAATGAAAAACTGACTGGTAAACTTACTGGAAAGGCTACGGGAATATTTAAAGAATATTAAATAAACATCGGCTTTCTTTTAAAAACATGTCTACAAATGTATTCTAGACTATTAGACTATATATAAACCTGAACAGCTGCAGCTGATATTCGGTTCTGGTTTCAGTATTCAGCCAAGCATTTCATTTTGATTCAGTTTTGGTTTTGGCCACAGATTTTCATTTCAGTGCATCCCCATTTAAAAACAAATGGAACCTTGGCCCTAGTCCTGGTTTAGTCTTGGTTTAGTCCTGGTTTAGGCCCCGTAGAAAGAGTTTTATAAACATTTGAATTTGTATTGAGTATTGAATGTATTCCTCGGTTTTGACATCGAGTTTGAACTTTTGGTATCGTGCTTTCGAATCGTGCTTTCGACTCGTGCTCTCAAATCGTGCTGTTGAATCATACTGCTCTTGACTCGTGCTGTTGAATCTCGCTCTCGAATCGCGCTCTGCGACTCGTGTTCTTGAATCTTGTTCTTGTCTGGTTCCAGGAGACGATGCTCAGTCCAGGGAGCTGCTGTCCACCTGGGACGACCCGGGCGTGACGGAGGCGGCGCGGGACTGTGTGGCCATCAAACTGCACGACAAGAGGTAAACTCCCTCCCCACGACCCGCACGCGCCCCCGACCGGGACCGAGACCGGGACTGAGACCGGGACTGAGACCGGGACCGAGACCGGGACTGAGACCGGGACCGAGACCGGGACCGAGACCGGGACCGAGACCGGGACCGAGACCGGGACCGAGACCGGGACCGAGACCGGAGACCGGGACCGAGACCAACGGTCCGAGTGGTTCCGTGTCATTGTCTGTGCGCTGGTTCCGTGCGGGGAAAGTGAGAATGTTCTGTGGACTACAGGTCCGGACGGGCTGCTCTGGTCCTCCACACTCAAGAACCACGACTGGTTCTGAGGTGGAGCAAAGCATCAAACTGACTCTTTCACACCAACGAAAATGAACCGAACTAAGAGCTTTTGGTTCAAATGGACCAGGTCCGGGACCAGACCGGAACCAGAGCACTACTGAGACTGGGACCAGACCGGGACCAGAACAGGCCTGAGATCAAGACAAGACCAGGACCAGACCGGGACCAGACCGGAGGCTCGAAGCTGAGGCTTGAGGCTCGGAGTCAAAGCTCGGAGTCCCGCTCTGGTCCCGCTCTGGTCCCGCTCTGGTCCCGCTCTGGTCCCGCTCTGGTCCCGCTCTGTTCTTGGACCTGGATCAGTCCTGGTTCAGTCCGTACGCGGTGCAAAAGTCCAGCATCTCAGTCACGGAAGTCATGTAAACGGAAAACAGTCGTTATCCGTTTTTTCCATTCTTCATTTAAACACAAAATCGAAAACTGAAAAAAATGAATCGTTCTCTGTTTTTTCATTTTGGTTTTGGAGACAAATAACGAAGAAAACTGTTATTTTTTCATTTTTCTTATTTTTGGTTTTATATTGAAAAACAAATGAACGAATGACACACAGATTCTGCTGGATTTAGTCCCACTACAACTTGACTTTACACAGGAAATGTCTGCTCCTGCTCTCTGATTTTATGCAATACATTTCCCACAAAAAGTGACACTTGTATATGTTTTTTTTTTCTTCTTCATTCTGCATTTTTTGTCTGGAGCGACTTAAACTCTGGAGCCACGTGTAGTCCGGGAAATACAGTAAATGTAAACTGCATCGTGACAAGGCGACACAAAAAAAAAATCTCTTGGGCCGTGACCCAGTCTTTGGAAAACACAGATCCAGAGTCTAAGTTTCATAACGACGTCTAACCCCAAACCCTCGTGGACTAGATCTGCATGATTTAGACCGAGAGCCGCTCCACATGATCCTGGTGTTTCTGTTCCGCTTCTTTCTTTAGCTCTAGATTAGACCTGTTCTAGTCCTGCTTTAGATCTGGAGCTTTATTGTTGCTTTTGAAACAGTTTGAGTTTGTGTTATTTTGTGTTTTTTTGTGTTTTATTTTGTGTTTTTCTCGTCTCTCCACAGTGAGGCGTGTGGACAGTTCTCCCAGATCTGTATCCTGCTGTCAGAACTCTGACGCCCCCTACAGGCCGTAGTGTTGTGTTATATTACAGTCCTGGTTTAGTCCTGGTTTAGTCCTGGTTTAGACCTGGTTTAGACCTGGTTTAGTCCTGGTTCAGACCTGATTTGGTCCTGGTTTAGTCCTGGTTTAGACCTGGTTTAGTCCTGGTTCAGACCTGATTTGGTCCTGGTTTAGACCTGGTTTAGACCCGGTTTAGACCCAGTTTAGTCCTGGTTTAGACCCAGTTTAGTCCTGGCTTAGACCTGGTTTAGACCTGGTTTAGACCTGGTTTTGACCCGGTTTAGACCTGGTTTAGTCCTGGTTTAGTCCTGGTTTTGTCCTAGTTCATTCCTGGTTTAGTCCTGGTTTAGTCCTGGTTCAGACCTGATTTGGTCCTGGTTTAGACCTGGTTTAGTCCTGGTTTAGTCCTGGTTCAGACCTGATTTGGTCCTGGTTTAGACCTGGTTTAGACCCGGTTTAGACCCAGTTTAGTCCTGGTTTAGACCTGGTTTTGACCCAGTTTAGTCCTGGTTTAGTCCTGGTTTAGTCCTGGTTTAGTCCTGGTTTAGTCCTGGTTTAGTCCTGGTTTAGTCCTGGTTTAGACCTGGTTTAGACCTGGTTTAGACCCAGTTTAGACCTGGTTAATCCTGGTTTAGACCTGGTTTAGACCTGGTTTTGACCCAGTTTAGACCCTGTTTAGACCCTGTTTAGTCCTGGTTTAGTCCTGGTTTAGTCCTGGTTTAGTCCTGGTTTAGTCCTGGTTTTAGTCCTGGTTTAGTCCTGGTTTAGTCCTGGTTTAGTCCTGGTTTAGTCCTGGTTTAGACCTGGTTTAGTCCTGGTTTAGTCCTGGTTTAGTCCTGGTTTAGACCTGGTTTAGACCTGGTTTAGAACTGGTTTAGTCCTGGTTTAGTCCTGGTTTAGTCCTGGTTTAGAACCTGGTTTAGTCCTGGTTTAGTCCTGGTTTAGTCCTGGTTTAGTCCTGGTTTTATGGTTTAGTCCTGGTTTAGTCCTGGTTTAGTCCTTGACCGTGTCAGATCCGGTGGTGTGTGTTCCGTCGAGTTTCTTCATCGGGGACAGTGGGGTTCCTCTCGAGGTCATCGCCAGCTCCATCTCCGCCCCCGACCTGGTGTCCAAGATCCAGACGGTCAAACAGGTCAGACCCCGCCCCCTCCCCCCCCCAGTGTGTCAGGTCCCTCCTCCCTCCCAGTGTGTGTCAGGTCCCTCCCCCCAGTGTGTGTCAGGTCCCTTCCCTCCTCCCAGTGTGTGTCAGGTCCCTCCTCCTCCCAGTGTGTGTGTCAGGTCCCTCCTCCCCCAGTGTGTGTCAGGTCCCCCTCCTCCCAGTGTGTGTCAGGTCCCTCCTCCCAGTGTGTGTCAGGTCCCTCCCAGTGTGTGTCAGATCCCTCCCCCAGTGTGTGTCAGGTCCCTCCCCCCAGTGTGTGTCAGGTCCCTCCTCCCTCCCAGTGTGTGTCAGGTCCCTCCTCCCTCCCAGTGTGTGTCAGGTCCCTCCTCCCTCCAGTGTGTGTCAGGTCCCTCCTCCCCCCAGTGTGTGTCAGGTCCCTCTTCCCCCCAGTGTGTGTCAGGTCCCTCCTCCTCCCAGTGTGTGTCAGGTCCCTCCTCCTCCCCCAGTGTGTGTCAGGTCCCTCCTCCTCCCAGTGTGTGTCAGGTCCCTCCTCCCCCCAGTGTGTGTCAGGTCCCTCCTCCCCCTAGTGTGTGTCAGGTCCCTCCTCCCCCCAGTGTGTCAGGTCCCTCCCCGTGTGTGTCAAGTCCCTCCTTCCCCCAATGTGTGTCAGGTCCCTCCCCCCAGTGTGTGTCAGGTCCTTCCTCCCCCCAGTGTGTCAGGTCCCTCCCCGTGTGTGTCAGGTCCCTCCTCTTGTGTGTCAGGTCCCTCCCAGTGTGTGTCAGGTCCCTCCCAGTGTGTGTCAGTGTGTGTCAGGTCCCTCCCTGTGTGTGTCAGGTGTCCTCTTGTGTGTGTCAGGTCCCTCCCTGTGTGTGTCAGGTGTCCTCTGTGTGTCCTGTGTGTCAGGTGTCCCTGTGTGTGTCAGGTCCCTCCCTGTGTGTGTCAGGTGTGTGTGTGTGTCAGGTCCCTCCCTGTGTGTGTCAGGTGTCCTCTTGTGTGTGTCAGGTCCCTCCCTGTGTGTGTCAGGTCCCTCCCTGTGTGTGTCAGGTCCCTCGTGTGACTCTGTTGTTTTCTTGAGCAGATGCACCGGGGGCAGACTGCAGGTGGCGCTGTCCAACCCTCCACCTCTTCAAACCAGAGTCCATCACAAACTCCAGAGACTCCAGCGGCTCCGGGTAAGTCCTGGTTTAGTTCTGGTTTAGTCCTGGTTTAGTCTTGGTTTAGTCCTGGTTTAGTCCTGGTTTAGTCCTGGTTTAGTCCTGGTTTAGTTCTGGTTTAGTTCTGGTTTAGTCCTGGTTTAGTCCTGGTTTAGACCTGGTTTAGACCTGGTTTAGTTCTGGTTTAGTCCTGGTTTAGTCCTGGTTTAGTCCTGGTTTAGTCCTGGTTTAGACCTGGTTTAGTTCTGGTTTAGTCCTGGTTTAGACCTGGTTTAGACCTGGTTTAGACCTGGTTTAGACCTGGTTTAGTTCTGGTTTAGTCCTGGTTTAGTCCTGGTGTATTTGTGAGTTTTGAGTCATTTCTTTTAGAGCCCGACCGATATATCGGTTGGCCGATATTATCAACAGCAAGTATATCGGCTATTGGTCTGTTGTAAAGTGATTATATTGTTCGTATATTTGTTCCTGGAGCTGCATTGATGTAAATGAGCTGTGAATAGGCGTGTCAACGGTTACATTTGCGCATATAATTAATTACCGCGGTGTGCAGCATTTACGGCTAAAGGCTAATAGCGATTGTTTATTTACTCGTGCTGGATCGGCCGCGAACGAAACGGTTCTTAGATCCGGCTCTTTGAAGCGAACGAGGGGAGCCTGATCCTCATTGGGATTGGGAGTCGTGTTTTCTCTTTCTCTCACTTTTTTTCTCTTCATGTCGCGTGCAGACTCGTGGTAGTTTGACAGCGGCTCAAAACGAAAAAATCTGCGTGTGCATAGGAGAGGAAAAACGTGCATAAATATATTCAGCATAAAATAAATAAACCAGGACTAATCTTGGGGTCGAGAGACGGAGAGAGACAGAGACCGAGTCCCGACACTCAGTCCTGGTTAAGTTCTGGTTTAGTCCTGTTTTACACATGGTTTAGATCTGTTGTAGTCCTGGTTTAGTCCTGGTTTAGTCCTGGTTCAGTCCTGGTTTAGACCTGGTTTAGACCTGGTTTAGACCTGGTTTAGACCTGGTTTAGACCTGGTTTAGTCCTATGACATTTCATGTAAAGAGGCAAAATAACAATAAATGTTGCCTAAATAAACCCAGTTTAAAAACCACCAGAGCCAAACCTAAGTTTTTTTTTAAACAATTCAAGATTTACAGTGAATTTTTACATCACTAAATATATCGGTGATTATATCGGCAGCTCCAACTCCCAGTATATCGGTTTTATATCAGCAACAACAAAATCCATATCGGTCGGACTCTAATTTCTTTCACGTTTCTTTACAGTGGCCTCGTCCTCGTCCTCGTTCTCGTCTTCGGCTGTGGCTCCGAGTCCAGCGCAGGAAAAGTCCAGGTGCGGACAGTGGCAGAGTGGTTAGCCCTCCTCCGGTCCGGCTCCGGTCCGGCTCCGGTCCGGCTCCGGTCCGGCTCCGGTCCGGCTCCGGTCCGGCTCCGGTCCGGCTCTGTGGAGTTTGCTTGTTCTCCCCGTGTCTTTTGAATCGGAACTCATGAAAAGTGTAAAATATTGGTGTCATGTGTGTTTGTGTTTGTGTTGTGTTTCAGTTCTGTGGAGGAGCGAGCCGAGCAGAGGAAAACCCCCGAGGTGAACTCTTACTCACTATTTTACTCACTCTGGGTTTGATTTTTAAATTAACACAACTGTATGTAAGTTTAAGATCTTATATTTCTTTGAAAAATGGGAAAACAGGCTCAGATTTACTCGAGTTCATTTAAAAATCCTCAGTTTTTTCAGGGTGACTTGAGTTTGTTTTTTCAGGGTGACTTGAGTTTGTTTTTCAGGGTGACTTGAGTTTGTTTTTTCAGGGTGACTTGAGTTTGTTTTTTCAGGGTGACTTGAGTTTGTCTTTTCAGGGTGAGACGAAAGGTGAACTTGAACGGCGTAAACTGGGCAAAGAGCTGCAGGATTTTAAGAGGAAACAGGAAGAAGATCAAACCAAAAGACTTTTAGAAGAACGACAGAAAGAGAAGGAAGAAGAGAGAGCAGCGAGAGAGAGAGTCCGACAACAGATCGCACTGGTGAGACACGGAGACACGGAGACAGAGAGACACAGAGACACAGAGAGACACGGAGACAGAGAGACACAGAGACACGGAGACACAGAGAGACACAGAGACACGGAGACAGAGACACAGAGACAGAGACACAGAGACACGAGACAGAGACACGAGACACGGAGACAGACACGGAGACACGGAGACACGGAGACACGGAGACGGAGACACGGAGACACAGAGACACGGAGACACGGAGACACGGAGACACACAGAGACAGAGACACGGAGACAGAGACACGGAGACACGGAGACACAGAGACACAGAGACACAGAGACACAGAGACACGGAGACACGGAGACACAGAGACACAGAGACACAGAGACACGGAGACACGGAGACACGGAGACAGAGACACAGAGACACAGAGACACAGAGACAGAGAGACACAGAGACACAGAGACAGAGAGACAGAGAGACACGGAGACACGGAGACACGGAGACACGGAGACAGAGACACAGAGACACAGAGACAGAGAGACAGAGAGACAGAGACACGGAGACACAGAGACACAGAGACACGGAGACACGGAGACACGGAGACACGGAGACAGAGACACAGAGACACAGAGACAGAGAGACAGAGAGACACAGAGACACAGAGACAGAGAGACAGAGAGACACGGAGACACGGAGACACGGAGACACAGAGACAGAGAGACAGAGAGACAGAGAGACACGGAGACACGGAGACACGGAGACAGAGACACAGAGACACAGAGACACAGAGACACAGAGACACAGAGACAGAGAGACACGGAGACACGGAGACACGGAGACACGGAGACACACGGAGACACAGAGACACAGAGACACAGAGACACAGAGACACAGAGACACAGAGACACAGAGACACGGAGACAGGGAGACAGAGACACGGAGACACGGAGACACAGAGACACAGAGACACAGAGACACAGAGACACAGAGACACAGAGACACAGAGACAGAGAGACAGGGAGACACGGAGACACGGAGACACGGAGACACGGAGACACGGAGACACGGAGACAGGGAGACAGGGAGACAGAGACACAGAGACACAGAGACACAGAGACACAGAGACACAGAGACACAGAGACACGGAGACACGGAGACACAGACACGGAGACACGGAGACACGGAGACACGGAGACACAGACACAGAGACACAGAGACACAGAGACACAGAGACAGAGAGACAGGGAGACACAGAGACACACAGAGACAGAGAGACAAGGAGACACAGAGACACAGAGACACAGAGACACAGAGACAGGGAGACAGGGAGACACGGAGAGACACGGAGACACGGAGACACGGAGACACAGAGACACAGAGACACAGAGACACAGAGACACAGAGACAGAGAGACAAGGAGACACAGAGACACAGAGACAGAGAGACACGGAGACACGGAGACACAGACACGGAGACACGGAGACACGGAGACACGGAGACACGGAGACAGAGAGACAAGGAGACAGGGAGACAGGGAGACAGAGAGACACAGAGACAAGGAGACAGAGAGACACAGAGACAAGGAGACACAGAGACACAGAGACAAAGAGACACACACAGAGACACACAGAGACACAGAGAGAGACACAGACAGAGACACAGAGACACAGAGACAGAGACACGGAGACAGAGAGAGACAGAGAGACACAGAGACACAGAGACAGAGACACAGAGACACAGAGACACAGAGACACACAGAGACACAGAGACACAGACAGAGACACAGAGACAGACAGAGACACAGAGACACAGACAGAGAAATACGCTGCAATTTGTAAAAAAAAAAAAAAAAAAATCTGAATCAATCTAAAAACCACTTGAGCGACAAATCCAAGTCCACATCACTGAGAAGAAAAGAGGAACTGGAATCTTTAAAACCAAAATACCAGAATACAGAGTTTAGAGTTTAAACATGAGAATACACAGAGTTTAGAGTTTAAACATGAGAATACACAGAGTTTAGAGTTTAAACGTGAGAATACAGAGTTTAGAGTTTAAACGTGACAATACACAGAGTTTAGAGTTTAAACGTGACAATACACAGAGTTTAGAGTTTAAACATGAGAATACACAGAGTTTAGAGTTTAAACGTGACAATACACAGAGTTTAGAGTTTAAACGTGACAATACACAGAGTTTAGAGTTTAAACGTGACAATACACAGAGTTTAGAGTTTAAACGTGACAATACACAGAGTTTAGAGTTTAAACATGAGAATACACAGAGTTTAGAGTTTAAACGTGATACATCTCTAGGCTGCAACTACAACTTCAGAGGGTCAGAGAGAAGAAACGACTAGAACATGGAGAAAGATCTGAGGAGAACAGCTCTGACTTTCCTCCGTAGACGTGCTTTATGTCTGAAGTGTTTAGTTTGGAGAAAAGTTTGAGGTGGGAGCAGGAGGTTTGATTTGAAATGTGTTGATGTTCCAGGACCGAGCGGAGAGAGCGGCTCGATACTCCAGGAGCGTCCAGGAGGAGGCGGCGGCAAAAGAAGCACGAACACAGGCACAAATCCAACAGCAGGAGAACAAGAAGGAGGAGGCGCTCAGGCAAAGGAGGTGAGGAGCGAGGAGAGAGGAGGTGATGGTAGATGTGGAGGAGATGATCAGATGTTCAGATGTTGTCTCTTTGCTCTCAGCTCTGTGGCTCGTCTTCAGTTCAGACTTCCTGATGGATCGTCCATCTCATCTCAGTTCTCGGCTCAGAGTCTCCTGAAGGAGGTGCTGCACTTCGCTCAGCAGGTACAAACATCTCCACCACCACGAGGAACCATAAAAACCATAAAAACCATAAAAACCATAAAAACCTTCTGACTGTAGTAGAGGAACATCCTGGGATTTTACACGTTAAATATTCGGGCTGTCGCAGTTTAGGGATGAACTTAAAAAATATCTTAATAAAACCACAGGTTGAGTGACACACATTTTATAGTCAGTGTCGGGGAGTAACAGATTACATGTACTGGAGTAATCAGAGTACAAATGATGAGTAACTGTATTCAGTTACAGTTACTGTTTCAGTGAGTGGTAATTGGATTACAGTTACTTTGTTAAAATAAATGGATTACACAGAGGACTAAACCAGGACTAAACCAGGACTGAACCAGGACTGAACCAGGACTAAACCAGGACTAAACCAGGTCTAAACCAGGACTAAACCAGGTTTAAACCAGGACTAAACCGGGACTAAACCGGGACTAAACCGGGACTAAACCGGGACTAAACCGGGTCTAAACCGGGTCTAAACCGGGTCTAAAGCAGGACTAAACCAGGACTAAACCAGGTCTAAACCAGGACTAAACCAGGATTTAACAGGTCTAAATCCTGCTGTGTGACGTGTTTCTTCGTTTTCTATCAATAATATTTTTAATTTGGTTCAGTAAAGTTTGGACTTTTTATTTTCTTTTATCAGATAAAACTTCTTATGTGAAGATTTCCTCGTCTTTGTTTCTCTACAGAGAAAATCAAGTAATCCAAAGTAATCAGATTACATTACTCACTTTAAGTCATGTTACAAACTACATTTTGGTGTGTGTAATCTGTAATCTGTAGGGGATTACATTTTAAAAGTAAACTTCCCAACACTGATTATTGTGAAAGGCCTGACTCTGGGCTCTTATTGTGACAGGAGATAGGAAGTGTGTTTTATTGTGAAAGACTTGACTCTGGGCTCTTATTGTGACAGGAGATAGGAAGTGTGTTTTATTGTGAAAGACTTGACTCTGGGCTCTTATTGTGACAGGAGATAGGAAGTGCGTACGGAAACTTCACCATGGCAACCATGTTTCCTCGGAGGGAGTTCTCGTCCCAAGACCTGGACCGGACTCTGACGGAGCTGGAACTGGCCCCGAGCGCCTCCATCGTTATACTGCCTGTGAGTACTACACGTACTACACGTACTACAAGTACTACACGTACTACACATACTACACGTACTACACATACTACACGTACTACACGTACTACAAGTACTACAAGTACTACACGTACTACACGTACTACACGTACTACAAGTACTACACGTACTACAAGTACTACAAGTACTACACATACTACACTACTACACGTACTACACGTACTACACGTACTACACGTACTACACATACTACACATACTACAAATACTACTACTAACGTACTACACGTACTACACGTACTACACGTACTACAGTACTACTACTACAAGTACTACTACACGTACTACACGTACTACACGTACTACACGTACTACACATACTACACGTACTACACATACTACAAGTACTACACGTACTACACGTACTACACGTACTACACGTACTACAACGTACTACACGTACTACACGTACTACACGTACTACAAGTACTACAAGTACTACACGTACTACACATACTACAAATACTACAAGTACTACAATTACTACAATTACTACAAGTACTACAAGTACTACTAATACTACTAATGCTACTAATACTACAAATACTACAAATACTACAAGTACTACAAATACTACAAATACTACTACTACAGCTCTTCCTGTTAGTCTGTTGAAGTGGGTGACAGAGGCTCAGTGAGTTGAGCTTTCGTCCTCTGATCTGAAGGTTGGTGGATTTGGACATGTGACGCTGTAGAAACGTGTGACGCTGTAGAAACGTGTGACGCTGTAGAAACGTGTGACGCTGTAGAAACGTGTGACGCTGTAGAAACGTGTGACGCTGTAGAAACGTGTGACGCTGTAGAAACGTGTGACGCGGTAGAAACGTGTGACGCTGTAGAAACGTGTGACTGTAGAAACTGTGACGCTGTAGAAACGTGTGACGCTGTAGAAACGTGTGACGCTGTAGAAACGTGTGACGCTGTAGAAACGTGTGACGCTGTAGAAACGTGTGACTGTAGAAACGTGTGACGCGTAGAAACGTGTGACGCTGTAGAAACGTGAGACGCTGTAGAAACGTGTGACGCTGTAGAAACGTGTGACGTGTAGAAACGTGTGACGCGGTAGAAACATGTGACGTTCTCTTTAACGTTCTACACGTGGTTCTGTGTTCCACATGTTCGACTTTCATGATTTTCTGTTTTGTTTTTGGATCAGGAAAGGTTTTGTTTTCTGATGTTGGATTTCCTGTTTTAAAACTAAAATCTAATGTGTGCGACGTACACAAACAGGACTGTAACAACAGCAGTAGTAGTAGTAGTAGTAGTAGTAGTATTTGCAGTAGTATTTGCAGTAGTATTTGCAGTAGTAGTAGTAGTATTTGCAGTATTATGTGAGCGTGTCGTGTGCTGTTCCAGGAGTCGTGCCGTCCTCCCTCTGCTCTGGCTCCTTCTTCTTCTTCTCTCTGGACGTTCCTGGGGACTCTGTTCTACCCCCTGCTGGCCGTCTGGAGGATCCTCAGCTCCTTCATCTTTGGCTCCGGCTCGTCCACAGGGGGCGCCACCGCCGCCGCCAACAGAACCGCCGACAGGACCGCCAACAGAACCGGGGACAGGACGCAGAGGTACAGACAGAACCAGACAGAGACAGACAGACAGACAGACAGAACCGCAGACAGAACCGCAGACAGAACCGCAGACAGAACCGCAGACAGAACCACAGACAGCAGACAGAACCAGACAGACAGACAGAACAGACAGAACAGACAGAACCACAGACAGAACCACAGACAGAACCACAGACAGAACCGAGACAGAACCACAGACAGAACCGAGACAGAACCACAGACAGAACCGCAGACAGAACCGGGGACAGAACCGCAGACAGGACGCAGAGTTTTTTCTGAATAAAAATAAGAGCTTGTGAAGTGAAAGTGTCTGGTTTCCTCAGGGAGAGTCTGACGAAGCAGAGTCTGGAGAAACAGCCCAAAAACTTCAAAAAAGACGGAAAGATCTGCCGCCTCCGGACGCAAGAGGACAGCGAAGACGAGAACAACACGTGGAACGGGAACAGCACGCAGCAGATGTGAGGGGCTCCACGAAAGAGCTGAAGGTCACCAAGAAACATCTGAGGGTCTCCACTAAGAATGATCGAACCATGTTTGAGGAGGACGTGGTGAGATGTTTGAGGAGGACGTGGTGAGATGTTTGAGGAGGACATGGTGAGATGTTTGAGGAGGAGGTGGTGAGATGTTTGTGGAGGACATGGTGAGATGTTTGTGGAGGACGTGGTGAGATGTTTGTGGAGGACATGGTGAGATGTTTGAGGAGGACGTGGTGAGATGTTTGAGGAGGACATGGTGAGATGTTTGTGGAGGAGGTGGTGAGATGTTTGTGGAGGACATGGTGAGATTCGGTTTGTCGAGCACCGGTCAAACGTTCAGACGGACTTCAGTTCGGTTCCTTTAAAATGTGACACTCGGAGGAGAATGATCCCAGAGTCAGAGCTGCACTTTGGAGCTGACGGAAACGTTCTCCCAGGTCAGAACGTCTCTGAACGTTTGAGCGATGGTCACTTCTGTTTCAGACTCAGATTAAACAGTTTTAGAAAATCAAATGTGGAGCTGAATATTTGGTGCAGATAAAAGTCGTGTGTGTAAAATCATCTGCACCGTGAAGGATTTCTAACATAAACTCCTCATGTATAACTTAAATAAAATTTAATATTTTAAACTAAAAACGTCTTAAACAGTTTGGTTCTTCTGCTCGCTGGACGTGAGGAGATGTTTATCTGTTTGTTGTGGTGCTAAATTTTCTTTCTTCTGTGTTTTTTAAAAAGTTCTTGGTCACATTTATGAACTTTAGAACTTTTCCGTCGAGCAGCTTTTAAAATAATCCCACCTTTGCTCCGAGAGACAAAAACGAACACCACAAAAGAACCACCATATTTTTATGCAGCTCAGATTTTTGTCCAACTTTTGTGTGTCACTGTTTTCATTGACTCTCCTGCTCTAATCAGACAAACTGTAGTTTTTGGACTGTAAGTGTCACTTTTTTTCAGAGTTTCCTGTGATTTCTTCTCTGGTGCGACTTTACAGATTCAAATTTTCAGCCTGAAGCGGTGAGAGGTTCTGGTCGCGCTCGTCTCCTGCAGGAAAAGCCTCCGTCCTGCTGCAAGTCGTGAAATCTGCAGCTGAAAACTGAAGCTTGTACCAAGTGGTGAAGTTTGTTGAGTGCATCACATGTGCATATTAAACATTGAATTTATATATTTGTTTGACTATTACACATTGAGTTGTTTAACCACTGAAATCTTCTGTATGTTTAAAGGTTCCACTGTGTGAAACATGTTTGCTTTTAAGGTCTTGTTTTGCAGTTATAGGTTGTGTCCTTTTAAAGAATTTCATTGTAAAGCAGCAGCAGTGGAGATGGTTCGGCCTGGTGCGAAACTAAACAAACTGGTGATTTACACTGGGCGGCTGTAAACTCCCTGAACCTACAGCAGGAGAGTTAAACTCATCTTGTTCTGGGGGTCGAGTCCAACCGACTTTGATCCAAAGTGTCTGGATCAGAAAACTCATGTCATATAAACCCCAAAAATAACAATCAGTTCAAATATTTGTGCAGAGAAACACAAATCTATTACAGAAATCTTTTTTAACTGATGAACTCTTTCTTTTACAAAATATTATAATATTATGAACAACCTGAAACTTTAAGAAAAATACAATTTCAACACAAAGTTTGAACATGAACTTGTCTGTAAACAGGAATAAATCCATTTTTGTTGTAAAATCCTGCACTCGGCTCCACTTTTCTCATGTTGGACATTTTTCTGATGAGGGTGTCACGGTCAACAGTCAAAACCATCGTCCTTTAAGAGCGTTTGGAAAGAGACAAGTCTTCATTTGTGCTGCTCTGGTGGGAGGGGCCACGTACAGAGACGCTGGAGACGCTGCTGTGATAAACACCACACAAAATTAACACCATTTTAATAGAAAATGTCACTCAAATATTTGAGTACAAAATCAGCCGAGGGCCAGATTAAAGGTCTTGGAGGGCCGGATCTGGCCCCCGGGCCGTATGTTTGACACCTGTGAGATACTCCAGGGAAGACTCAAGGTGTTACCTGTTCAACATATTATTTGCATATTCATATTCATGTCTATAAAACCTGGGTTAAGTTGGTTCAGAGGCCGTCAGATCACCTGATTTAAGACGTCTGTGTCCGTGGGCAGTTAAGGACAACAGTCTGACCCAGAGCTCTGGATTAGAACTGTATTGTTTAGGGAATAAATTCTTTTTGATTTTAATTGATCGATTCCAGTGGTTATTTTTAAGAGAACACGCTGAATGTTTTTTTGAGGAAACCTAACAAAACGGACATCGAGCAGCAGAAAGAAAGTTTGGAGTGAGAGAGAAACTGGTGAGGGACGGAGGAGAAAAGCCGAGGACGAAGAACACGACTTGACGTTGGGCGGGAGGAAGCGCCGCGCCTGGACTCCCCTGAAAACCCGAAGCTGCGCCGAGTTGTTCAGAAGTGACACCGAGGATGAAGAACTGAAGTGATTTAGTGAGTTGGAGTCTGTTCTTCTCTTCTGTTGGTTTTACTACAACTTCACTTCACACACGACATGTCGGCTCCTGATCTCTCACTTTATTAAACACATTTACCACAAAAAAGTGCCACTTTTATGTTTTTTTTTTGGCTGGAGCGACTTTTTCTCCGGAGCCACTTATATGGTACTAAATATTATATAATATTTTGACATTTTAACCCCTTAAATTCCATTTCTGACAGCAAAAGTATCAAATTATGTGCACGAATAAATAAAACGTAAAGTAATTTTATTTGTGCAATTAGTGTCCTTCAGTCTGAACTTTACAAATGTTTTTCTACTGATACAATCTTAGAAACAGAAAAATATAAAAAAAAATTAAAAGACATTAAAACAAAACAAAAAAAAAGTTTTCAGCGTGAAAGAATAAAAATTAAATCAAAAAGTAAAAAAAGAAAAGTTGGAAAAATTATGCCAGTAAAAAAACGCATTTTAAACGGAAGTCAACGGGACAAAAATGTACTGAAGGAGCACAGGTCTGAGGATTTTGATTATAAACCGTTAAATTTATGTGATCTTGGGAAAAAAAAACACAGAAATTAAAAATACATCATAAAATACACAAACTGGTCCATTTCGGTGATATTTGGTCCAATACGACCAAAGTTATGCAACAAAAAAAAGCCGAGATGTACAAAAATGTCCTGAGTTCATGGACACAACGACAGCGTTCATCTGTGGGAGCAGGAATCACACCGACAACCTGTGAGTCTGAGTCTGAACGC